ACTTTTCGTTCAAAACCCTAAAACTGAAGACCAAGCAGCAGGAGCTCCTGATTCGCGTCTCCATCCTCTGCTTGGTCTATGTTATCGTCTTCATCACCCGCCTTTTCAGCATCCTCCGCTACGAGTCCATGATCCACGAGTTTGATCCCTATTTCAATTACCGTACTACTCTCTACCTCACCGAGAAGGGCTTCTACGAATTCTGGAACTGGTTCGACTTCGAGAGTTGGTACCCCTTGGGTCGGATCATCGGCGACACCCTCTACCCTGGCCTCATGGTCACCGCTGCCATCATCTACTGGGCCCTATGATTCCTTAGCTTCGCCGTACACATGGACATAACAGATTAGATATGGCTTCCTTTAATCATCCAGCTGCTTTTGAAAACTGTGTAAAGAAAAAGTGGTGCAGTCATGGAGGGGTCATGTGCTCACATGGCGGACAACGCAAAAGAAAAAGAAAAAGAAAAAGGGAAACTGATATTGGTATGCTTTTGCTTTTGCCCGGCGATGCTTTCCATTAATTATATGTGATTAAATGGATCAGGTGCATGCAAGCACATGTGGGTTGATGACCTCTAAAGAAAGTGGTCGCGGAGCTCATGAGTGATGACCTCCAAAGATGCGTTTTACAAATGGACAGCAACGCAGAGACATAGACAGAGAGGACGGCATAGTGGGAAACAAAAGCAAAAGAAGATAAAAAAAAAGCTGACATAATTGCAATGGTGAGGGCATGCAGAAAAGGGACTTATGGGTGTGACCCACTGAGCAAAAGGTCGGGTTTATTTCTGAATGATGTAAATTATTTTTCTTATCTTTCGGAGACATCTGTATCAACCCCATCAGAGGGTAAAAAAAAAAAAGGCAAGCCCAAAATTAAATGGGCTGGAATGTTGTGGGGAGGGCAAAGGCCCATAAGCCTAAAATAGCACCAACCAAGTGACCAAAAGTACGCCCAGTACTACAAAAAAATTATTTGGCACCCAGCCGCTATTATCGCCAACCAGGTAATCAAAAGTACACCCAGTACTCCAAAATTATTCAGCAGTCTGCCGCTATTATCATCAACCAAGTGATCAAAAGTACGCCCAGTACTTCAAATTATACATGAGCATTACTCATATCAATCATACATAAACATTCATGAGCATTACTCATATCAATCATACATAAACATTCATGAGCATCACTTATATCAACATTCATGAGCATCACTCATATCAATCAACATAAACATTCATGAGCATCACTCATGTCAATCAGCTTCAAAAGCTTCATTTACAGAGCTCTAGCTTCAAAAGCTTCATTTACAGAGCTCCAGCTTCAAAAGCTTCATTTACAAAAGCTCTAGCTTTAAAAGCTTCATTTACAGAGCTCAAGCTTCAAAGCTTCACTTGCAAAGCTTCACCTACAAAGCTTCAGTGCAGGGTATACAAATACCGCCTTCGAACAATCGCCACTTCGGCCCATACATAGATTCAATTTGAAGTCTCCAGCCAACAGATTCTATTGACCGAAGACTTGGGGGACTACATTATGTACCATATATTGGGCCTCAACTGGGCCTCATAAAAAATACTTGGGGGCCTTAGCCCATCACTTATGTATTGAGGAACGAGCCCTTATTCTATAATAAGGACTCCCTCACCTTCATTAGAGAGCAACACCGCCAGCTGAGCAACTGCCTCGTCGCGAGCATCACTCCTAACCCATCACTTATGTATTGAGGAGCGAGCCCTTATTCTATAAAAGGGACTCCCTCACCACCATTAGAGAGCATCGCCGCCTACTGAGCAACTGCATCGCTGCGAACATCAACTCTAACCCATCATTTATGTATTGAGGAGTGAGCCCTTATTCTATAAAAGGGACCCCCTCACCTTCAATGCCACAAACCGAGCCAACCAAGGCAACATAAGCCAGAAAACGAGCAGCCTCGCAACATGTGCTACTTCTAATTGAGCACCATTTCAAATTGGGCACCGCCGCATACCGAGCATTAGTTCAAGATGACATCTATTTACTTTGGCCCACACATGGACTGAATTTCAAGTTTCCAGCCAAAAGACTCTCTTGACTGAAGACTTGGCGCCAAAAAATTGATGCGAAATATATAAGCACACAAATTAAACCTTCTTTTTATCAATTGTAGTAAATAATGTAAGTAAGGATCGTTCTAGGCCGGAGATTAGGAGGGATTGCTAAAACACTTAAAACTGAATCAAAAACGTAAAACAAAGTTTAAAACACTAAGCTAGACTCAAAGAATGCAAAACTAAACTATAAAACACTAAAACAACTCAAAAGACTCAGACAACACAAAACAAGCTAAAAGACTCAAAACTGCCACTTAGAATGAATTTGGACAAAAATAGGTTCAAAACACTTAAAAACACAAACAAAATCACTTTTTAACTAATATGACTCAACAAAGAAAAGGGGGGGGGGGGTTTGGTTTTGACGAATTTGAAAACAAAACAAGCAAAGTAAAGAACTAATGAAATCTGGACCAATTTGAGTAAAGTGAATGGACAAAAGGCTAGCTAGGAAGTTCTTCTCCACACATGTCACACTTGCATACAAAACGATTTCCAATTGCTTTTCAATAAACCATGAATTCCCAACGCCCTAGATTAACCGTGAATTGCACTAATTAACCCTCAGATTTTCCTAAAGTTATTGAATTTGATGATTGCATACAACAACCCAAAGTATTCCCCACAAGTTCCCCACATGAATTGCATAATAGAGATACAAGCAAAGATCATTAAGTTATATGAAAATTATAAGCATTGACGAGGCACTTGTTACTATGAATTGCATGAAACTTATGCCAAGAATTTACTTAACGCGATTGTGATTAGCGACCTGTACTACTCGTGAATATAAGTTCATAACGATTAGGTGAAACTCCCTTATATCCTAGCATCAGATTTATGCATGGAAATTAAGCGTGCACTATCAACCAACACACACAAATCAGTTTTAATTCATACAGATAAGTAAATTGAATTCACAACTTATGAAACACAACTAGAAGTAATCAAATCATATTGCAAGCATGAACATGGTTTCGAATTCCCCCTAGCTAAGGGGGGGTTTAGTTCTTCATACTCATGAAGCAAAAATAAACAAATTTAGACATTGAAAACAAAAGAAAGAAAACACCTAGACGCTCCAACGATCAAACTTGAATAGCAAGCACGTCCACGAACTTTCCTCCTCCCTCTTTGTTGCGGCACAAGGTTTGGGGACAGGTTTTAGGGGTTATGTATATGGAAAAATGGATGGGAGATGGTATGGTAGTGTTTAGGATGGATGAGAGGTGCGGCAAGATGTGTTTAGGGTCAAGAAATATGGAAGATTGGTGGTGATGGCTGCGGCAGAGAATGGAAGAAGGGTTTCTGGCGTGAATGATGTATATGGGGGGTGATACCTGCGGCAAAGGTTGAAAATAGATATATATATATATATATATATATATATATATATATATATATATATATATATATAGGCACCTAAAACCCTAGGGAAATCAGATTAGGACTTCTAGAACCCAAATCCACAAGGAAAAGAGCTTAAACAATCAGAATTCAAAGGGAAAAAGTCCAAAAGGTGCCGCAGATAAGGAAAGGGATAAGGCTTCTAGAATGCCTTGCAAGTCAAGGAAAAAGGGTTTCTAGAAGGGGATATGTGTGGCAAGGTTCCAATGGTGAAGTGAAAGTTGCGGCATCCTTCTAGAACAAGGATTAAGGTGTCCTAAAATGTTTGGGACTCCTCTTTGTACCTGAAACCTTTATGCATTAGGATTAGGAAAGCTTGTCTTGGTCAATCCTTCTTCTTCTTGGATTCCTTTTCCTTCTTTGACTTGGATTACTTCTTTGTTGCTGGAACTTAAGGCTACTTAGGTTTAACTTTCCTACTTCAAGTAGGAAACCTTGTTTGAGTAGGAATCTTCATTCTTCTAGGAATCCAACTTCAACTAGGAATCCTTCTTCAAGTAGGAATCCTTTGTTGATTAGGATTCCATCTTCAATTAGGAACTTTCCTACTTCAACTAGGAAACCTTGTTCAAGTAGGAATCCTAACATCTTTAAGTCTTCAATTTCATCCATTCCTTTTTCTCCAAGCATGTGATATCCATTCCAAGCTCAATTTTGCTTCAAAAGGCTCCAAAATACATCTTTTTGCATACTTTGCCTTTAAAACCTGAAAACACACGAAAATGGCTTAAAAGACTAACTTAACTAAGGAAAAACAACTTTAATGCACAAGAACTAGCTAACTAAGGTGAATAAATATGCTCCTATCACAATACTTATGCCTAACCCCTCATCCTCTCAAAGCTCTGACTCTCATTCAGAGTTCCCTCTCCTTCACAATAATCTCAGAGAAATACAATATCAGTGTGGACGTAACCTAAACCTTAAGGTGAACCATGATACATCTTGTGTTATTTACATTTCTTGCAGATTCACGGTCGGATTTACGTTGTTCCAAGACCCCTCCGGTTTTGTGCATCAACATACAATACAATCCACTCAATAAACTACACAACTTCTCCAATATATGCTTTTGGGTATCATTGGAGGTAATGCATAGATATTCCACATTTTCTGCACTTTTCATTTCAATGTGGTATCCATTTAAACGTATGTCTTTAAAACTCAAAAAAATTCGAGTAGATTACGCATTTTTTATGGACAATATTGTTCCATTTGGTAACATGATCTGGGCTTTTCCTGAGCCTTCAATTACATCTGATTAGCTTGATATTGTTGGTACCTTTACTTTTGTAAGTATCAAGCTTGAGAAATATTTTCGATCTCGAAGTATTGTATGCGTGGTTGCGCTATTTGCAAGATAAATATCTCCGTCATTGCTCTTGTTTTGAGAACAACCATAATTTTTATCCATGCTCTCTAAGTAAGGAAATCACAGTTAAAAAATAGCTTATACATAATAAAAGGAAATTGGAATGCCATTGTTGTTGAATTGAAATGCGAGCATTAAACTACAAATTCAGATAACAAGAGTACATTAAACAAAAATGATTCAATCGGACCGATACACTTCATTCCCTCTTTCCACAATGAAGTCTGACACATCCAGGTAGGTTGTTCAATTGCCTTGATAAATTGAATACTGGATCAGGTATATCCATCGGTTTAGCCTGGTCGATAAAATTGGTTTCAACACCCTTCTCCTTGAGGGAGACTTGATATAGATCCACCAGATGTTTTGGGGTACAACATGTATACACCAAGTGTTCATTGCCACCACACCTATGGAAAACTCCTTTAGGATTTCTAAGAGTGTTATTCATATGAGCTTTGGCTTTCTAGTGATTTGCGTTCTTAAAGCTCGGGCCTGAATTATGCCTTAGAACCTGTTTGTGAAACTGGACACCATGGTTCTTGCCTTTCCCGTTCCACCGGCCTCGCTTTTGGCCACGTCCCCGTTTGTAATTATTGCCACGAAATGATGTGATATTTACTTCAAGTGAAACAGCATTCACTTCTGGGAATGGTGCCGATCCATTAGGCCAGGACTGATGATTCTTCATCAGAAGCTCATTGTTTTGTTCAGCTACAAAGAGCACATATATCAACTGGTGGTATTTAGTGAAGCCCCGCTCTTTATTGGTGATGGTTTCCCCACATAGCTTTATCTAGGAGCTGATTCTGAACATTACAGAATTATACTTAGCCATCGTCTTGAAATCCTGGATCCTTAGGTGAGTCCACTCATAACGAGTCCTTGGAAGAATCATCGTTTTCTGGTGATTAAGGTGGCGACGGATAAAGTTCATGGCCTTTGCCAGATCTTGAGATGATGCATTGTTCTCCTCCTTGATGGTTTCTCCAAGATTCCCTGCCTCCAGATGGATCTTGGCATCCACTACCCCAGGTAAGGTAGTTCTTCCCAGTAATATCCAGGGCAACAAAATCAAGTTTTGCCAAGTTCTCCATTTTCTTTTCTGAAAGAAAAATGAGATGTGTAAGAACTTGCAATAATATGTGTTCTGAAGGAGTATAGTGTTAAAACTTCTTATTCTTACAAATTTTTCATTTTGATCTTCAGACCAAAATAATAAGCACTCGAAACTTCAAACTTAAGATTTACATGATTAATGAGGAGGGCAATTGTGCCGCACCACTCTCATTGAAACAATATAGCATAAGATGGGCAATTTTGCACCACTCAAGCAGCATGAAAATTTAAATATGCAGAGCAAGGTGGGTGATTATATCGCACCCTAAAATTTCAGTAAAATTAAATATGCAGTCTAAAATGTGCGATGATACCGCACCATCTTCAATCCCAGCAAAAATAAATAAACATTGGGTTAGTAATCAAGAGCTACACCAAACAAGAAATCAAAGATATAAGTAATTGTTATATTGACAACTAGAAGCATGCATGGTGCTAGCAGTTCTTCGCGAGGGTACATCCAACAGGTGAGGCAGAGGAAGAAGAATAGGAAAATCCTTAGAGGAAACATTTTTCACCGATGTGAATTGTTTAGGGTTAGAGATTCATGCTGATAACGTGTTATAAATAAGCAAAAGTTAGAGAGATAACCTTTGCTAAGGACATGAATGAAGCGGGTGCGAAATATCATACTGTTTTGTTTCATAGCTCTAACACAGAAGGATTGCAAATAAAAGAGGAAATGAGGGATACTAATATTATTGCTTTCAGTAATTTTCTCTTTTAGTTGCTGTGTTGATCACCCACGGAGTGATCTATTTATAAAGCCACATCCGTAAGTTTATAGTGAATGGAAAGTCACACCCATGACAAATCCAACAATATCCATGATTTTTCTCTTTTGAAAATGTACCACACAACAAACTCCCTACTATTCACTACTAATCCCATGTGGGCATTCAATTATTCTTAAAATTATTACAACAAAATTCAAATAAGAAAAAAAATACAGAAAATTCAAATGAACCATTCTCTCTCTCAACCTCACCTTACCTAGATCACTCTGTCTCTTTAGACACCTCCACCCAACTTTGAACCTCGAACCCCCGAGCTCTCGTCCTCCCCTAACTTGGCCGCTCAATTTGTGACTCCAACCACCCACATCACACGACAATGACCTCTACACCTATCTCTTTATTTCAAACTCCCCTTTCAATATCTCGGTCCATTTCTCTTTCTCGACTCTCCTCTCTTCAATTCTTCAGTCTTCTCTTCTTCCCTAACCCAATAGACCGATTTTTGTCTCTCTCTCTCTCTCTCTCTCAACCCTAGCTAGATCACGCCCACACCACCACACAACGTCTCTATCTTTCGATAACTCCCTCTCTCTTTCAAGGTAAGAATTTTCCCCTTTAATTCGTCAAATTTTATTTAGGTTTCTTTTTGGGATTTTGAAATGGGGATAAAGTTTCGATTTGGATTTTGAATTTCAATTTGGGGATTAGGGGATTGTTGAGGTCAGTCATTTCGTGTAATGGTTGAGGGGATTGTTGAGGTTTGTACTGTAAGGTGAGTTTGTTGCACTGAACTAGCTTCATAATCTAAAGCTGGACTTGCTTGGCTTAGATTAAGCAGACTAAAAATAGTGAAGTGTTAGGAGCAATGTTGAACTAAGTCTCAGACTAAAATATTTTAGACCAAATATTTTTGTTAATAGGAGAACAAACGCAATGCTAGATTGAGAAACAAATGCAACGCCAAATCCATTGTTTCCAATTTCTAGGTTTGCAATTGACATGAAACCAAAAGGTCCATAACTCCAGAACTAAACCCAAAACAAACAAACAAAATTAAACCTATAACTCCAGAACTCAAAATTAAACCTAGAAAATAAACCCATAAATTAAATCCAAAATTCAAACCCAAAAATTAAATCTATCTAAGTACTCATTTCGATGGCTTCGACGACACCGAATCTTGGTCACCGACGATCTCTCCATCTTAGAGCTCATCATCGTTCCTCCCTCTGCTCAGGTTTTGTCTTGGTCACGCCTCCACTAACACGCAAATTTTGACCGTAACGTCCCCAGATAGCGGCGATTTTGGCATTAACCTTTCGAACCCAAACCATGTTATGATCTTGTGATTGCCTTAGTCACAAGTAACATAATTTGGGGTCAAATTGTAATTGTTTGGGGATTCATTGCAATTTTCATTTCTTTCTAGTTCTATTTTTAATAGTTGGTTGTTATTGCCTATGCGGCAGCTTACATTAGTGTATCGAGCTATTATATAAAGCTCCACTTCCCATTCCAACGATATGATGAAATTAAATATAATTTTACAAAATAAAAAAAAATACTCATCTTCTCCATTTCGCCATTCTCTATTGCTGCATCTTGTATCTGTGATTAAGATTGAATAGGTTTATGGAATTGAAGCCTATCATTTGTATCATCCATTTCCTCGATCCTAGTTCCCTTCCATTGTATGCCCCGTCATACTACCAATTCCAAACTCTCTATTATGGATACCCATGTCACTGCCCTTGAGGCCTCCATGACCAACCTTGATTCCAAAATCGATTCGGCGGTGTCTAACGCCTTCGATCATAAACTCACTCTCTACTTCAAGTAACTTCGCCACGAACTTCAATTAGGCATTCCTGGTGTCGATCCTTCTGCTTCTGTTGTCTCTCCCAACCCCGATCCTCAGGCGATTGAGCATCTTCATCCACCTCCTAACCAGATCCTTGCTTCTAGGGTCTCCAATTTTCAACTACAGTGGTCTCCTTACCTTGATTTCCCTTGTTTTGTGAAAGGTGATGACCCGTTGGCTTGAATTTATAAAGCTGAACAGTTATTCGCCTTCTATCAAATCCCTGATACTCAACGAGTCCTCACTACTTATTTTTACTTAGAGGGTGAGGTTTTGCAATGGTTTCGCTGGATGGATTGCACCCATTCCACTCCATGTTGGAGATATGCCCTGAAAGTCAATCTTTGGAAGAAACCTTTCAGGACAATGTACATATGTATAGATAACTCTAATACAACAAAATGTAAAGTCACTCATTAGGACTATCTTAATAAACGATATACGTCCAAAATAGTGAATCCATGGACAATGGATTGATGGAAGAAGTAATCTAATGATGTTAGACTGCAGAGACCTTCTTCACATAACCATAATGTCCAAAAGGTTCCTGGTCATAGGATTGTCAGAGGGACACTGACAATACATAGACCAGTACATACTATGTCCTCTTCAAATGGAAGGATGGAAAGTCTCATGCCATTCGTGTAGTGACACTAAGACAAGTATGTAGATGCTCATTAAGGGAATGAGTTCACTGAACACAATCAAAAGAGAGTACTTGTATGGAGGTCTACTGACATGTCAAGCAAGTAACTCTACTGGTTGGAATAATGTAAGTAATCCTTTGACCTGAGACATCATAGTTGTCTTGGGGATACGTTGCTGATCATTTGATAATGAGACATGACCACATCTCATCTTGGATGTGTTCTATGCATTGTTGGGGTTAGTGATTTATTCTCAGAGGCATGTTAATGATCAACAAATGATCTCTAATCCTCGTTAAGAGAGGAAGAATACTCTAAGATATGATTCGGGAATCTTCGGCCGAAGTATCGAGCGTAATGATGGAAGGCATTCCAATACTACTTGAGAAGGATCGAATTACATAGTAATTCCAACTGAATAGGTTCTCCAACCAAATTCTACATTAGCTTGAGTTGCCATGATATATGGTTAGATGTCACTAATGGCTTGTGGGTTCTTCTAGATGATTAAATAAGTAGTCATCAAAGAAGAAGGAGAATTAAAAGTAAGTTTTAATTCACTAAGTGATTGGATAAATACTAATCAATTGGATTGATACCAATCACCTCACTGCCTCGCTAATTAGAACCTAAAATGATTGTACACCGATACACTCTTGTGGTGAAACAACTAAAGGATGATGGAATTAATTAATTGGATTAATTAAGTGTTATGATTAATTAGAAAGTCTAAAGAAATCATAGAAGAGATAAAAGATCGTTTCGGGCTTAAAGAAAAGTTCGTATTCATTCGGGCTCATTGGGCCTAAACCCATTGGGTCTTTTTATTCAAGCATAGAATGACTTGAGATGATAAAAGCCCAAAGTTCAAACCCATACTAAGGGGCCGGCCATTGTTAAAGAAAGAAGAGAGAGAATGAGTCAATTGGTTGACTCATTTCTTTGACATTTATAAAAAGGAGTTTAATGAAAAGGTTTCATTAAGGCTTTTTGTGTGAACTTTTCAACAAGACAAAAGCAAGTCTCTCTCTCTCTCTCTACACACATACATAGCCGACCACCAAAGGGAGATATAGATAATCATCTCTTCTCCTTTTTGGTTATTCCAACATCCATCTCACTACACTAGTGGGTATGGATCTTTAAAGGTCTTCTACTTTTGAGACTAGAGGAGAATCAAAGGAGTTCCAAATCTATCAAGGTGGATGAGTCAAGGAATGAGGCTAGATTCAAGGAGTTCTAAGAACAAAGAGCTTGGAAGTGGTCCATTCTTGGTCTAAAGTCTAGATCAAGAGGTATAAAACTCAACCTTCACTTTGTTCTTCAATATTTTGTTAGATGCATCATATATGAACCTATGTTTCTTGAAGGGGATTTGCATGACTATAGCTTTGATAATATGTGATAATGTTTCCGTTGCTTATGTATATAAATTTTGAATTGTATATGCATGCTAGTCACTAGAAATCCCACTATAAATCTCATTATTTCCCTTCACTCCACACTGGGAGGATTTCACGAAGACCTTCTGTCGTGAATTTAGACCTTTAGAATTTGAAGACAGTGATGAATCCCTCTTCAAATTGCGCAAGGTACTCTTAAGGATTATATCACTGAATTTCATCGTTTAGCCACTTGTACTCGTGATTTGGGTCTTGTGTTGTTCAAGAGTTGTTTCTTTGGGGGCCTCAAGAAGGAATTGAAATTCGATGTGAAATTGTTAAACCAGTGGTTGTTCAAG